TTCCAACCTAAAGGATTCTATGACCTACTGTTTGTCCACATACACATAGTGCACATAGCACTGTTACTGGCACAGGAGTGAAACAATACAGGAGTAGCCAACCACAACGTCTAGAGGAGCAATTTCATAGATCACAGCAGTTACTCCTGGTGACCTTTGTCAGGCTTTTCTGCTGCAAGCATGTTGGACATCTGGATACCTTAAAAGCCTCAGTGGAAGAGCTCTGTTGAAGTAGTCAGATCATCTTAGTCTGTTACCCTTTGGGTGGAGGTTGACTGCCAGCAGAGACAACTCAGGGGCTGGTACAGGTATTCCCTGATAACATCAGAGGCCAGTGTACTGACAGAGCCAACACAATTTCATTTTAAATACTGTGTTTTCTCTCTTCTTGATACAATAGTGCATTTTCCTAACTCAGAAGTGATCCATATTTCTCTGATGAAAACCACAATCCCATGCTTTGTCGCTGGGCTCACAGGGGACTCCCAGCAAGCAGCTACAAGAGCACACAGTCCACTGACAGATCCTGCTGGGATCTTCCTTTCCTGCAGCAGCATTTGTTTCTGCAGCCCCCTGCCCCAGGCCAAATAACACTCATACTGAAAAGTAGCAAAGTGCACCTAGAAGTGACTAGCACTATTTTGCTTCCCTGAAGCATCCAGGGAGGAGTCTGCTTCTGTGGTGAAAAACACAGAAATGGCACCTATTTCATGCAGATGAATTAATTTGTACTTTAGTTCAAGCACATGGTTTGGGCTCTGTCAGCAAAGCACCTAATACTTCCTGGGAGCATTGTGTTTGGAAATGCTGAATAAATCTAAATGAGATCTAAAATTCTTGTTAAATAGTTAGGTCCTGTTGTCAGGAAGACAGGACTGGTTTTGGAGCAGCCTGGGTAGTAGTACAATCCACAAGCGCCCTCTAGAGGGAGTCTCTACCAGTGAATTCCACGAAGGTTTGGGTTTGGCAGAATCATTCCACTTGTGTGCTTGCAGTTTTTTAAGGCTATGGAACTGAGGTATATAAAAACTTGAGGGGAGAGGGCAAATTGTTTTAAATCTATTGTACTTGGAACTGGACTTTGCTGCTCTTCATAACCCAGGAGTTTGCTGCAGAGGCTCGGTGTCATTACCCTGCACAACAGCAGGATTGGATTAACAGTTTACTCTTCATTGTACGTCATTCAGAAAAGCTCTGTGCAGAGCAATAACATTACCAGCATTTGGGGGCAGGAAAAGAAGCATTCTAAGATCCTGGCTATGATGGTCAAAATTGCCTTTTTTTCCTGTTTT